TAGCTCTATTTTTAATTTTTTGAGGCACCTCCACATAACATTGTGATTTAAATAACTTTTTAAACCCATGGTTCGATAGAGCAATAGAGATAAAAGTTGGCAGAAAAAAAGAGCAGTGAGCAGCTTGAAAAGGAAAACAAGCTAAAAAGTTTTCAGAAATAAGGAAGGACTTCTGTTTAAGCTGAAAACACCAATGTGAACTCATGATGTGGAAAATATTTAAAACTATTTTTCTTTACCCTGACCCTAAATGGGCCCAAACAAGCTCTGGTATCATCCTGCCTACAAACAGTATGTGTCTGCACACCCAGCTGCTACTGTCTAGTACTATTTGTCCCTGAAAGGAACCAGCACTGCCAAGGCCGTGGCTGACTCCAAGTCTTGGAGCAGGGACAAAAACAAAATCCGTCAAAACATAGTATTACCAAGAAGCACAGATGCCTTCCAAGATGTTCTCGCTAGTGCTAAGAAGGAAAAGGAAAAAACTTGACAGGCCCTCTGATGGCCACATTATGAGAATTTGAGCCTCTGGCACCATCACCTCCACCATGAAGTAGATGAAATTAGCTAAGTCCAAAAAAGGCATAAATCCCTATGTCCACAATGATGCTGTGTATGAAGACAGGCATGCAGAACATACTGTTGGCAGAAAATGCGTTCTACTGATCGACCCACTCAAGGTTTGGATACCACCTAAGGATATAATTCATTTCTTCCCTCTTTTTGTGTAAAAAGAACAGGGTCAGCAAATTGTGACTGGCACCTTTTTTACTAAAAGAAGTCAAAAGCTCCAGGAACCTTTGGTAAAAGATAAACTTTACATATGGAACATGCAATTATCATTTGATGTTTTAATTTTGCTGTCAAGGACACTAAGATGTATACATCTCAACTTAAATATGTTAATGGGGCTAGGACTGTATCTTACCATGACCAGTCATTTCTGTCCCCTGGGAGGTTTATCAGGACAGGCAATCTAAAATTTACACAACTATACTTTATAGAGACCTTGTTTTTATTTATTTATTTTTAAAGATTTTATTTATTTATTTGAGAGAGAGAATAGAGAGATAGAGAGAGCATGAGAAGGGGGAGGGTCAGAGGGAGAAGCAGACTCCCCGCCGAGCAGGGAGCCCAATGCGGGACTCGATCCCGGGACTCCAGGATCATGACCTGAGCCGAAGGCAGACGCTTAACCAACTGAGCCACCCAGGCGCTCCGAGACCTTGTTTTTAAAAAGTACATTATTTATTTAAAAACTTTGTCTCTAGGTTTTTTATTTAGAAAGAGGTATTAAATCTTTCTGTATCCTATTCCTCTCTCAAAAAAAAATCCACATTAAGTGTCTGTTTGCTTGTTTTGTTTATTTTATTGAAGTATAGCTAAACAGGAAAAAGTTTCCCTCTGCTGTGTTAAGGGCCATTCACTGTAATCTAGTCCAAGTCATTAGGGCTCCCTTGCCTCTATCCTAGTATTCTACTGCTAACAAAAGCACCCAGGATCGAGCAAGAAGAGGGAATGTCTTACCTGACATCAGTCTTAAAGTTTTTATTAGCCATCTGTGACTCTTACTTAGAAATTTCACAAATCCTTCTTGAACTCACATAAACAGTGAATGCCTATACCATTACTTGAAGTTAATTAAGTCCCACAGTTACCTTGTTTTCATTTGTCCAAACTTACCTTTTTTCAAATTTTAATTTCAATTAGCCAACATATAGTACATCATTAGTTTCAGATGTAGTATTCAATAATTCATCAGTTGCATATAACACCCAGTGCTCATCACATCACGGGGTCTCCTTAATGCCCATCACCCGGTTAGCCCATCCCTCTACCCGCCTCCCCTCCAGCAACCCTCAGTTTTGTTTCCTGTAGTTAAGAGTCTCTCATGGTTTGGCTCCCTCTCTGATTTCTTCCCATTCAGTTTTCCCTCCCTTCCCCGATTGTCCTCTGCGCTATTTCTTATATTCCACATATGAGTGAAACCATATGATAATTGTCTTTCTCTGATTGTCCCAAACTTATCTTAAACTTATGAAAGTTTGCCTCTTTTCCTAGAATTTTAGAAGTTCTTGAACAAGCCTGTGCTCAATCTAACCTGGGTCTTTTTAGATGAAGGGCATATTCAGCCTTTTGGCCTCCACTCCTTTACCGGGACTGCCGTCTCTCCTCCCAGTCTAGGGGATCTTCTCTGGCTAGTCCTTAAGATCCATTATGTCCTTTCAAAGATGTGCTTGCCAAAGTTGCACACAGGATTCCTCATGAGGAAATGCCCTAGATTTACATAAAGGTATGATAACCATTGCTGGTCTTCAATAACTCATCGATGTCCAATGTTGTGTTGGGATCTTTGTCCTCATTAGAGTACAAAGCTGTTGTTCTCTATACCCTTAATAATTTACAGGGCCTTTTCAGATTTACAGCTCTGGAATATTTAGAACTCTTTTCAATTCCTTTTAAAGACTCCACTGCCAATTTTAAAATCAGTCTACAACTTGTTGCTGTTCAGGGACACAAATGTTTAAAATCTTCCTGTTATCTAGATCTACCACTTGTGGCTCTTTCCTATCTGAAAGATTTTTCATAGAGTTATGTCTCCAGTTCATATATAAAAATGCTAAGTAATTCCAGTCCTAGCATGATATCAAAGACTTGCTCCACCATTTACATTTCTTTATCTATGAAATCACACTTTTATCCCTACCCTTTGTTTCCTCTCTTCTCCCTTCCCCTCTCTTCTCCCAATTCCAGGGTCATTTAGCAGAACACTCATTCATTCGTGAAATATTTATTGGCATCTACTCTGTGCTGGGTACAAGAGCAAGGTGTTAAGACTATAACAAACATAGTGTCCCTGCCCTAAAGAACCTCTAGTGATTCTTTATTTACTTGCCTATTTTACACCTCAGAAACACTAGCTGGGCACAGGTTTTTTTAAACTCATAAATCATTTGCTTTTCTTCTAAAAGAATATTTTTTATGTTCTTGGTTTTAGAATTCAAAGGTTTACCATTGAGGATGGTGAGGATGAAACTGAATCACTTGTACCTTCTCAAATCTTTTTAGGTCTTCACTGCCCAATTCCGTAAGCCACTAGTCCCATGTCTATTTAAATTAATTACAATTAAATAAGATTAGGAATTCAGTTTCTCATTTGCACTAGCTACATTTCAGGTGCTTAATGGCTAAGGTGGCTAATGGCTACCGTACTGGCAGCGTAGATTTAGACCTTTTCCGTCATCACAGAAAGTTCTAGCTGAGAGCACTTCTTGTACAGTTCTTATATAAGGGGTGACACCATGGCCACATATAAAAATAGGTTACACATTTTGGCAAACAATTAATGACTTTTTTATTACTCACATGATGGCACCTGGTGCTAGTAAGTCACTTATATTCTTTTTGTCATTGCAGTCTAAACTATCTTAAATACAGACCACTATTGAATATAGTTTTAATTATGATGTAAGCCAAAAAATCATTTCTTTTTTTAATCTTATTCGTAGCAAAATACATAACTGGAAATGTATAATGAAGGTATCTAAATAATAGCAATAATGAGATAAATAATCAATTCAGCATGGGAAACATCATCAAGAAACTTACCCTCCTTCACTTTCTGCTTCCTCTGAACTATTGCTTGTTCCAGAACTTTGAACTGTGGCAAGCCTTCTTTTTCTAGCTCTGTGCTGAGGACTTATCTTATGAACAGTTATCCTCCCTCCAAGTTCACCTTGTATATATTCCTCCAGCTTTGGAATCGTTTCTTTAAGAACTCTGATTTCCTCTTTGAGTTCTTCCATATTTGTCAGTAATTCGTTTAACTTCTCCAATATCTGAAGCTGCCTTCCTTGAAAGATTGCAGCTGTTCCTTGGCCATTACACATTTCATCTTGAAAAGTCACAGAATCAAACTTATTACCCAGAGAAAGAAAGTTAGGTAAATTCAATGTTGTCCTTGATTTACGAACCTTGTGGTACCACAAAAGAAGCAAGCTGATTCCAGTAGTTCCCACCATGATACCAAGTATCAGTTCTTTGTTTGTGGAATGAGGCATTTCTTGGGTTTTGTTTCTAAAATTGAAAGCATAAATGTAAATGAATGTTGTTTCTGTCTTCGCCCAAGACAAAAATATTAAAGCTTTCTCAATCAAGAGAAGTCAAGTCTACATCATAGACACACACACACATGATAAATCATAAACTAAAATTTATAAATAAGTATAATATATTTACCCCTAAAATGTATGTGGCCCCATCGAAAGATTTACTTTAAGGATATCACTGAAGTCCAGTGTAAAGTTTCAATTTTAATTCAGAATTTGTATTCTACATGACTGATCCGAATTTTTAAAGAGTATGATGTATATTGGTAAAAGCATCATTATACATTTCTGAAAAAAAAAGCTATTTGAGAATTCAAATTGTGCTTAACTGTGTTTGCACCCTTTATCTGTATAAAATTAGTATGCTGATTTCTGAGTCTTATCCAATCTTTAAGGAAGTCCAAGGAGCTTTTTCTTAGTACCCAGTTCACACATATACTTAGAGTAATAAACATTTTAAAAGCCCAAGGATTTGGAATATAAAATATATCAGAGAGCTCTGGCAAGTTTATAACCCACCTCATCTCTTTTTTTTTTCAGCACGCAGAGCAAAAATGCTAACACATGCAGGCTTCATCTCCTTTCTCCTTTTGACCCAGAATGTCTCTGCTCTTTACATTTCTATTTCTGTCTGAGGTCTTAATGTTTTTATTTTCTTTCAAATTTTCCTCTTTTTTAAAGTAGCAAAAATGTCCTTTCTTTGACTCTTCTCTCCATCTGAACTTTCACTGTTTTACATTCAAGGCTCAAGCGTTAGTCTGCCTAATTCCACATAAACTCAGCTACTCTGACTAAATGCACCATAATTTTTCTTTGGTATATCCCATCTTCACAAGTTTTATTGTTTATCTCTGTTCTTAAAATCAGAAGACCATTAATGGAAAACAATAGTATAATTCATAATATTAAATAAACATATATAATATTATATACAAATATATATTAAATATATAAATAAGTATATAAAATATAATAATATAATATAAACATAATATTTATAATAATATAAAGTCCTTTTCCTTCCAAGACTTTAAAATGGCAATAAGTATGTTAGTACTATAATAAACTTCTGTGTTTAGAATAAAATATAGTGAGGCTTCTTTACAGACTTTGAAGTTCCCCAAATTATCTTCCCATCAATATCCAGTAGTTTGCAAACACCCTTATTAAATTTTGTTAGCAATTTGAGAGAAATGTTACAAATAATGGTAAACTGTCTGTTATAGGAATTTAAATTCATGAAATTTCTGGTTTGTTTTTCTTGACACTTTCTCAAGGAGCAGACTGATATAGCACTGCTACCCATGATCCCCAAGAAAAAGGAAACAAATGAGGGAAGTTCTATGATCTCTCTGGGTTTTTAATTGGAGGCATTTCTGGACTATGGCACAGGAAGGGGAAAACCAAACAAAGCCTGGTAGTCTATTGAGCTGAACAGAGAACAGAGTTCAGAGAAACTGAAGGACCTAGAATTCGTGTGGCACAGTACTGAAGATGTGGAAAGTATGTAGAGAAAGAGCTCTAGAAATATGCGTAGGAGTCTCCTTAAATCTTTAACTGAATACCAGTCAAACCCCATCAGGCCAGGCAAATGAACAATTTCCAGGAAGCTATAAACCTAACTATTCCTAAAGATTACACAAATTCCCACCAGCCAGAGTAGAGAGTGTTTACCAAATATCTGAGACTTTCAGTAGGGATCTCAGAAGGGTGATGCCTTGGAAATGAGGCCTAATTAATCCTAGAGTTAAGATTTATTTAGACTTGCTCTAAAACAGATTAAAAAACGAGTCTCCAAAGGATCAAACTAATTCACAAATAATTTAACTGCATCCAAGAGAAAGTCCAAAACTCTTTAAAGGAACTGAAAACGTTCAGAATGCAATGACATAAAATCGCAATGTTGATCATCCAATCAAAAATTACTCAATACATAAAGAAGCAGGAAAATGACAGAGATGATGTAATTAGCAGACAGGATGTTAAAACAACTATTACAAATATGTTCACTATTTAATATAAATATTAAAAATATGTTAAAGAAAAACATAAACATGATGAGGAGAGAAATAGAAGGTATTAAGCAGAACCAAATAGAACTTCTGGAGATGAAAAATAAAATATCTGAAATAAAATTTTATTGAATGAGATTAATAGAAGAAAAAGCATTCTGGAGAAAAAAGTCAGCAAACCCGAAGACAAAGCAACAGAAACCATCTACTACAGACTAAATGTTTGTGTCTCCTCTAGATCCATATGTTGAAATCTTAATTCCCATGGTAATAGTATTAGGAGGTGGGGCCTTCAGGAGGCAGAGTCTTCATAAATGAGATTAGGGCACTCATAAAACAGAACCCCCAGATACCCCTCCATCCTTCCACTCTGTAAAGTTATAAGGAGAGGGTGCCGTCTATGAACCAATTGGCCTTCATAAGACAACGAATCTGTCAGTGCCTTGATCTTGGATTTCCCAGCTTTACAACTGTGAGATATAAATTTCTGTTGTTCTGTAATAAATCTTCTGTTGCCACCCGGTCTATGGTATTTTGTTACAGCAGCTCCAATGGACTAAGACACCATATAAAATGAAAC